CCACAGCGCCCCCGTCTGCGAGCCGTGCCTGTGTACTACGCCGGCGTCTCGAAACAGTACGCCTGGCCGATCTGGCCCCGCCGCACCAACCCACGCGGACCCTGAGCTGTCCCTGCCCCCTGCTACGGAACCTCCTCTTTCCCACCCCTCCCGTCTCCTTCCAGCTCTCTCAGCTTCTCTTCCTCCCTTTGCTCCTCCAATTTCCCCAGCACTGCCACCCCATTCTTATTCTGTTCCCCCATCTCTCCCGGTCCTTTCTTCTTCCTCTGATCCTTCTCCCTTCTTTAGTCGCCCCCTATTCTTCTCCACAATCTCCTTCTTGCACTGATCCCTGCTGTCTCCCTGTTCCCGCAGCTGCCCTTGCTTCACCACATAAGTGTCTTGGTTTGGGTGCTGTAGGCCCTGACTGGCTCAGCAGCCCCCCAGGGAGGAGAGGTACATGTCCAGGCAGCTTGTCCTCTTGATGAGCAGGACTTGTCTGATTACCGACAATTGCATGATTTTTCTTTTAAAATCGTTGGTTCTCATTTGGGTGCAGGATATCCCCCCTCCTTTCCTAGTGCTCCCTCTTTTTGGCCTGCTGTGTCCTTGTGTGTACAATTTCGGCTGCATTAGTATTCTCTAAAAAACAAATAGTCTGTTTATCTTTCACCCTCCTTTCTTCTGCCCTTTCTGTGCCTGGCCAGGGCACTAATGCTCCTGACTTGCTTCTGGTATAAGAAGAGCCTTATACAGTTAACATTAATATTATTTTGCCAGTAGTAAAGACAAGAGCTAGTAAGCATTGAGCCTTGTTATGTACCAGATACTGTTGTAATCACTCTGCCAAAACTAATTCCTTCCATTTTACAGTCAGGACAACCTGAGGTACAGACACTGGATGACGTTTGAGTTCCATATAGGGAATGATGGTGCCAGGATCCTAACTAGCATCCTATATGCAAATGTATGCAGTACAGCAAATGAGACTTGCAAAGATGATGTGGCCACAGGAATACAGAAGTGGGTTTGTCAAAAGGTGAGTTCTTTTTTGTTTTTGTTGTTGTTGTTTTTGTTTTTCGAGGCAGGGTTTCTCTGTAGCTTTGGAGCCTGTCCTGAAGTTTTCTCTGTAGATCATGCTGGCCTTGACCTCACAGAGATCCACCTGTCTTTGTCTCAAGAGTGCTGGGATTGAAGGTGTGCACCACCACCACCACCTGGCTAAGAGGTGAGAGTTCTTTAAGTCAGTATCCTGGCTGGCAGAGAGCATCATGCAAGGCCTCAGTACTGTCAGGCCCTAAAACTGCAAGGCAAGCTATTTTTCAGGACTGAGATATGGAACCCTAAGACCTTACCTAAAATGACCTTAGAAGCCCGGGGAATCAAAAATCTCCCACATAGAATCTGAAGAACAAGAACAGGGCGTTTTGGAACTAGATTAGAATCCTGGGACACTGTCTCCTGCAGCAGTAGGGACCAGAGCAGCTTAAAGACTGGAAACCCCCAGGTTAAGAGACCAATCAGTCCTTTTGCCCTGTGCCCTTAGGCTACCTGAATTGCTCAGATCTGTCAATTGAAGTAGACAGATTTAAGTGTGTCTTCTGTCTCCTTATGGTTAACACCGCATTAATGCTTTATTTTTGCAAAACTATTGTTGTAATATTGGCTTCTAGGCGTGTTTAACTGCAAGCTTTTGCTTGGTATTGTTGTGGGGCCTGACAGTGTGGGTACTTGATACTATGTTTCTGTAAATGTTGCAATATGTTTATACTTTAAGCATTGTGGGTTAAATCCATTATTCGTTTTAACTCTTATGGAGTGTCCTTGAAGTAGCTGTGAGCATTTTGGAAAGCAAGCCAAGTAAAATTAGGCTGGAGAGACATTTTGTGTTTAATGAGACATAGAGCCAAGAGGAGAGAGATAAAGGAGGTGGCATGGGAGCACTTACTACTGGGGTCATTGAAAGCCAAGAGCCCATGCTGCCGGCATGAACCTGAGCCTCTCAGGCTAGTATGGAGTATACTTCATGTCTAGTTTGTGACTGCAGACACTAGTCACACAGGTGTGGGAACAGTGGTCAAGGCTGAAACTGCCACCCTTTGTGGGAGTCTTGTCAACTTTACCTTTCCTCGGCACTGGAGGATCCAGTAGCAAAGGGCTTCTGGGCTTGAGATGGATGGAACTAGGAGCCCTACTGATGCAGCGCTTTACAATAAAACAAACACAATAAAACAACAAACGAACCCACATTCAGGTGGGCTTGGCAAGCTCAGCCCTGTCTGGTCAAAGTGTCATGAATGTTATCTAAAGGCAGGGGATACAATTGTTAAGTGTTGATCTGAATCCCAGTGTTTGTAAGGCAACAAGTCTGTAGTTATCCCACAAAGCACAAATTCCATATGTATCTCCACTCCTCCTATAGGAAATGTATCTCAAACTTGAAGGAGTCAGAGAGTTGATAGCTAAAATGTTTGGGGAAAGCAATAAGTACCATAAAGTTGTGTTAAACCACTAAGTTTAATAGGAGTATTACATTTTCTTAAATTTTTTGTTGAAGCTTACAGTACTTGTTAGCTTTTAAAATATGTAACTTATTTTGATGTATTTCTTTAAATATTTAATGCTGTGTTTGATTTATTGTTCCTAATAGACCTGGCTGGCCTCAAACTCAGAGCTCCACCTGCCTCTGCCTCCCGAGTGCTGACACTAAAGGCATGCACCACCATGCTCAGCCGAGAATTTTAGTTCTTAAGTTCTGATCTCCACAGGGCCCTCTTGCCCAATTCCGAACATCCTTCCTGGCTGCAAAGCCCCCTTATGAAATCTTTATGAAACTGAACTGCACATGTGCAACTACTCCCTCATGGCGAATTAGGTTTCTCCGAGCTGCTAGTACCCAGGCTGGTGGTTGTTTTCTATGAGGAGATAGTATTAGTGTCTCCTCATGTCCTAGGACACAACCAGTACCAGTCCTTAGTCCCCTTTTCCATTGAGATGCTGAGGAGTAAATGAGAAGAAATAGTCAACTGTCTTTTTTTTTTCAAGAGAAGATGGGAAAAATCACATAAATGACTCCAAGCTGTCATCAGGGCATCCACTAGGGTCTTGTGCAAAATCACAGCTGCCTGTATCATGGGAAAGGATTCCAACATAGGGCCCAATTTGTGAGCACTGGTTCCTTACTTCCAGATATCCTATTTTCACCCACCATCACCTTGTTGATAGTTAGAATTAATGAATTAATAACTCTCATTAGAACCATGAAATTCTAAGTGTAAAAATCAATCATTAATGTTGACTGGCAGGAAGCATTTCTGAAAGGAAAATATTTGTATCGCTTTTAATAGTTGGGTAGATGTGCTATGTTGCAGCAATAAACCCAAAAGCTCATTGTCTAGTTATTTTTTTGGTAGTATGAAGTCTACAATAGCTCTCAAATATAGCATCCTTCTATATGGTGACTTGGGAATCCAGCCTGCTCATATCTGTGAATATCCCTTGGTGATGAATGTATTTCTGTGCCTTTATTAATACATGCAACAGTGAAACAAACTAAATATCCAAAACTACAAGTAAAATGCATGTAGTAGCTATAAACATATGTTACAGTATTCAATCAAGGAAACGACTGATAGGGGTGGGGAGGCAGCTCAGGGAATTAATGGGCTTCCCACTCAAGTATGAGACTCCGAGTTCAAATCCAAGGACCCATAGGAAAGCCAGATGTGCCTGTGTCACCTGTAATCTCAGTGTTACATGGGTCGAGACAGGCAGACCCCTGAAACTCATTGGCCAGTCAGTCATGCCGATTCAACAAGCTTCTTATTCAGCAATAAACCTTGTCTCAAAAAATAAATGTGGAAAGCAATGCAGGAAATACACTCTACATGGATCCCTAGGTTCCAAACACAGGAGAGCACATGTGCATATACCCATACTGACAAATTCACACACTACACGCCCATAACTAACACACACACACACACACACACACACACACACACACACACACACACACACACCACAAAAAAAAAATGAGTGAGCAAACAGGAATGAATCTTACCACCAAGTTCAGGGGTGAAAGAAGCCAGGCAGGGAAAAGTCTGAGCTGCCTGACTAGGGTGTTTGAAGTTCAGAAATGAGAGAAACCAAGCAGTGCTGGATGTTGGCATGGTTGAGGGAAATTGTCACATCCAGAATGGAGGTGGTCAGGAGGTTCTAATCTGGATGATGACTTCACCACTGGTCCTCAAAGTAACTCACGCGTTTTATTTACTTCTGTAAGCCACATTATATTTCAAAATTGTAGTGGTTAGAAATATTCAAACATGTAAATCATACTAAATAGGACTTTGTGGAGAGCTGTTTGCTTTAGACGAGCATAGAGTGACTCACATATTGTACATTCCATTGATTAAACAACACTCTTATCATAAAAGTTTAATGTGATTTGAGTAACCAAAATTTTACTGGTTCAAAACTATTCCAGGAACACATATCGGAAAGTTCAACTATACATTATTTACATATCTAATATTTATTTTAATATGGGCATCGTCTTCTACAAGTGTTATTTTAGGTGTTTGATATTTCAAACCAACCGAACTGGTTCTGCAAGATTATTACAAAAAAAGTAAATGGCAGTTCATACACATAACTTCCGGCAGAAAAATGAAAGCACTGGGGAGAGTTTGGACATGGGGTACATGACCAGAGGAAACATGCTGGGCTCCTGCTAGCTGCAAATCATGCTGAGCAAGCAAGGCATCCAGCCACCCAAGTGACACCTTTCCTTCCTCAGTTTTGATTTGTTTTGCTCTTTAAAATCCCTGCTCTGGGTCCTGCCAGCTGTTGTAGCTCATCTATTCACCCCACACAAGAGAGAAAGGCTAGTTCCATCCCCTGTGTCCATCCACAGTGTCCCTGGGTGGGGTCAGGGGACACCCAGCTGTCTGACCCCCTCCACAAAAGAGTCCCTCTCCCAGACCTTCATAGCAATTGATAGGCTTCCAGCTCCTAAATACTCTATAGAAACTCCCAGGCAAACACTTCCCAACTGCCAAGTCCCCAAGGATGATAAGAACTCTTTAGAAACTTCTTCTAGTTATTGCAAAACCTTGATTTCCCTTTGCTTTGCAGCCACTGTGAAGATAACAGCAGACCAGTCAGCAATTCCCAGCAACCATGATTGTGGGCTAGGAGTTCTGAGACTCAGGCTGTCCCACCTCTCCCAGAACTGCAGCCTGGCTGTCCCCAGCAAAACACTCCTATGGATGATGGAAATGGAGAGACACCAAAGGACTTCTCTACAAGCAGTTGGGTCCTTGGCAACAGAGGGAATGTATAGACACCCAAATGCTATCTGGATCTGCCCACATCTGCCTCTGAGAAAGAAGTGGAGTCCACTGTGCCAAGAGCCTACATTCTCTGTTGTGCTCATCCTAAAAGAATGCCCTGCAAGGCAAATCTGCTTCACATAGACCTTACAGCAGAAATCTGATTTTAGCTAATTTAACAGGGACAATACTGTTAGCTGCATTACTGAGTGGAGGAACCCAACTCATGAACTTGGGTTTCAATATGAAAACTAGACTATTGAGCACAACCTCACTTAGAAGTGAGGCCTTGGCTTCAAGGAGTTGGCAATTCCAGAAATCCAAAGATCATCAAGAAATAACGAGGTCAGGCAGACTATAGAGGGCCTTGGAAGTGAAAAGGGTGGAAGGAAGTCTGGATGGGGACACAACTGACCTTTCTAGGGATCAACTGTTAGGCACAATCTGCCCCTTCCCAGATAATCACAAATATACACATTACAGCTATGACATTTTTCCAAAGCTCACACTCACAGATTCTAAACCTGTTCTATTATTCCTCCAGTTTATACACTGAAGACAGCATCACAGAAAGACTGTTTTCCAAGGTTTCCCAGAGAGTTGTAGGTCAGGATTGTTTAGGATGCCCTACCACCCCACCATCAGACATCAGACATAAACTAGAGGGCAAGCAATGCAATTCTTTTAGTAACAATACTTTCTGTTTTGTTTTTCAAGGCAGGGTTTCTCTGTGGCTTTGGAGGCTGTCCTGGAACTAGCTCTTGTAGACCAGGCTGGTCTCGAACTCACAGAGATCATCTTGCCTCTGCCTCCAGAGTGCTGGGATTAAAGGAATGCGCCACCACCGCCTGGCTAGTAACAATACTTTTTAAAGCCTTTAAAAATTATAGTTGCAGCTTGAATGCGCAGCACAAAGATTCATGAGTACACTATGAAATATACTGAACAGCACAGCAGACCACCCCAGCCCATGTCAGTGAATGCCTCTGTGAGCCAAGGCTGTGCTTAATGTTGCAGGAAATGGAAGTATTCCTACACATCTAAAGTAAGTAGAAACTTTGACTCACTGTAGGAGAGCTTCAGAAGCAACACTCACTGGCCATAGAGTTTCTTTAGAATTTTTTAAATAAAAATATTTATTTTATTTTTAATTATGTATGCATGTGTGGATATACTCATGTAAATGCTGGTGCCTCTGGAGGCCAGAAGTTTAGGATCTAGAGTCACAGTTGGGAGATACCTGACATGGATGCTGGGAAAAAAACCAAGTCCTCAGGCCAGGTCTAGTGGCGCACACCTTTAGTCCCAGCACTTGGGTGGCAGAGGCAGGCGGATCTCTGTGAGTCTGAGACCAGCCTGGTCTACAAGAGCAAGATCCAGGATAGTCAAGGCTACACAGAGAAACCCTGTCTCAAAAAAACAAAACAACAAACAAAACCAGGTCCTCTGCAAGAGTAACCCCTCTTAACATGTAGCCATCTATTCATCTATTTCAAACTCTATTTTTTTTTTACTTATTATTGTATTGTGTACTGTGTATGTGGGTGGAGGAACATATATAGAGGTCAGAGAACAACTTTGTGGAGTCATTTCTCTACTTTTACTTTTATATAGGTTCCAAGGCTCAAACTCAAGTTGTCAGGCATGTATGGCAGGTCCCTTTTGTATCAAGCTTTTTTTGTCGGCCACCAGCTCACAAATAACAACATGGAGACTTATTAACTATTAAAGCTTGGACTTTGTTAGGCTTTTCCTAACTAGCACTTATAAGTTAAATGAACCCATTTATATTAATTTTACATTCTGCCACATGGCTCGTGGCTGTTACCTCTCTTTCTTCACACCCTGCTTGTTCTCCTGACATCTCCACCTTTCTCCTTCTCCAGAATCCTCTCTGTCTCTGGAAGTTATGCCTAATCTCTTCCTGCCTAGGTATCACCCATTTAGCTCTTTATTAAGGCAATCAGAAGGCGCCTTGGCAAAGACATGTCTTTACAGTGTAAAAAAATATTCTGCAACACCCCTTTTTCATTAAACAATATCCCAGCCCTGCATACAGTTTCTAGGATATAGTCTTGATTAGCAAGCAGGACTGAGTTATAGTAATTTGCCTATAGCACTGCAACTGTGGTTAATGATAATGTGTTGGGTACTTGAAAACCACTGTCTTAGGGTTTTTATTTGTTGTGAAGACACACCATGATCACAGTTACTCTTATAAAGGAAAACATCTAATTGGGGCTGAATTATAGTTCAGAAGTTTAGTCCATTATCCTCATGGCAGGAAGCATGGCAGCATGTAGGCAGACATGGTGCTGGAGAAGCAGCTGGGAGTTTTACATTCAGATCCAAAGGCATCAGGAAGAGCCCACCCCCTGTGACACACTTCCTCCTACAAGGCCACACCTACTCCAGCAAGGTCACACCTCCATTAATGCACTCCCTTCAAGTACATGGGGGCCATTTTCATTCAAACCACCACAACCACTGAGATTTGATTCTAAATTTCACAAATACACACACACACACACACACACACACACACACACACACACACACACACCAAGCATGGTGACTCACACTTGTAATTCCAGAACTCATGAGGCTAAGACAAGTAGATTCTTTAGAGTTTGAGGTCAGCCTGGATTATGTAATTATGTAAAAAATTCAAGACCAACCTAGGCTTTATTGTGGTAACTATTTCACATGTGTACATATCAAGATAGCAATTTTATAGACTATAACATTTTGTCAGTTACACCTTAATAAAGCTAGTGGTGGGTGAGGAAAAGGGAATTCTTTTAAATGTACCATGGGCTTTTCTTTCTTCTCAGGTAGTGGGAGGAACTCCAGTGGTTCCCCCAGTCAATAGCATCTTTCTGGCACCACTTCATCCCCTGGGATGTGGCAGCCAGTACACAATCTCTTCATCATGGAGCTGGTATTTGGAGATGACATTTGACACAAATAAATGGACAATTTTGGGAAAGGCACCATCACATATCAGCCACCCTAGGGCAATGATATGGAGTTAGGCTGCTCTGTATACTTCGGAAGGAGTATCCAACTAGGGAAAGAGTAAGAGCCACAACCTGACAGCTAGGGCTGTCTATCTGGTCCTGTGACATTAGAGGGAGAGAAACCACCCAGAGAACAAAAAGGTAAGTGGGTACAGGTCATGGTTATAATGGGGTCATTTCAACACAGGCCTGGAAGCCTTTGGAACAGACCTGAGATGTAACATGGGGTGACGGGTTGCTGATAGGACACTGTTGGGATCAAGGGCAAAAAGAAGCCAGGCTTGGGACCTGCCTTGAAGGTAGAGCAAGCAAGATCCTCCTGGTTCCTTGGGTCTTAGATTTGCACACACCCAGGAGTGGTAAGGACAACCTCAAAGACAGTGGCCTGATAAACTGAAGCAACTGGCATCTGAAATAAGGAAGAGGTCAGCAAACAACAGTTTGCTGGGCAATTCAGAACTTGCCTTATACATTCAGTCTGGTAGTCAGTGAGATGCTTGATTGGGTATGTTGACCACACAGTCTTACATAGGAGTCTGGAGTCCAGAGGAGACTTGGTGTAAATTCAGAGTTTCATTAGCTGATCAACAAACATAGAGAAGGGGAACATATACCCAGAGAAGAGAGACTGAGAACTGTACTCCATGTTAAATAAGAGGATCCACATTTGAAAAGCTAAGACTCATTGAGCATGGCCAGATACCAGACACTGCATAGGCAGACATGAAGAAAATACCAGTCAAGTCCTCCACTGTACAGGGCTACCAGCCCTAACACCCAACACCCATCTGCAGTCAGTTGAAGCAATCCCTGTCTCCTGTGCTCATAATGTGGCCAGCAATAAACCTGCTACAGCACTGCGGCCCTACTATAAGCACCACCTACCTCGCCACTGATTGCTTCACAATCTGGGCTTGGCAAGGAGCAGAACAATGCCCATGGGAACACAAGGTGTGGGCGTCTGTGATCGAGTCCTCAGCATCCAGCCCAAGCTAATCACCTGGGTTCTTCCTGTGTCCACGTGCCTGCTGGACTTGGACATTGCCCTTAACTGAGCCAGTCAGCAGACCTGCTGGAGCTGGCCCTGCCTGACACTGCCCCTGCTCTCCAAGCTCACTAGACTGGAAGCACAGCTGAGGGGATGCATAGAAGCATCAGTCAGTTCTCAGCTTTTGACTGGTAATGAAACTCCATCCAGACATCTTGTTTCTGCCTTAAGAAAGAAAATATATTCCTGGATCCTGGAATGAAGCTCTTAGAGTTACTTCTTGCTCTTAGACTGGGAAAAAACAAAAAATTCTAGTGGTGCCTTTAATCCTAGCACTCGGAAAGCAGAGCTGGGTAGATCTCGGAGTTCAAGGCTGTCTACAGAGCAAGTTCCAGGAGAGCCAGGGGTACACAGAGAAACCTTAGAAACATTGTCTCAAGAAAACAAAGAGAGAGAGAGAGAGAGAGAGAGAGAGAGAGAGAGAGAGAGAGAGAGAGGAGGAGAGAGAGGGAGAGGGAGAGGACAATGACAGAGTCCTATGCCCACTGTGGGGTGATCAGGGTGCCATTTCTACTCACCCCCTTGGATGCTTGTGCAATCTGACGTAATCTGAGAAAGGGTCCCAGGGAAATGGTTGTGTGGGATTCTATATTAACATTCAGCTTTCATGAGTATGTAGCTTAGGAACAGACATGATGTTCACAAAGGAAGATAACACAGACAAAGGGACTCATGTGTCTGTCCTGAGCTCAACTTTAGCACTTGACACGCCCTACTATGTGCTGGTGAGTGGCACAGAACCATGCTGGCCTTCCTCTTTGTCCAGTCCCTCTCAGACCCTGAATAAAGTTTTCAAATGACTGTCTGGATTCACAGATCCAAGCACAAGAGCTGGATTAAACTGAGAAGAGTCCAGACTATTACAGAGGTGGTTATTTCAAAAAAGTGCCTGCCTCTGATAAGATTCTTTGAAAAGGGCTGGAGAGATGGCTCAGTGATTAAGAGCAGGGGACCCAGGTTCAATTCTTAACATCCGCATGATGGCTAACAACTGTGTGTACGTCCAGTTCCAGAAGACAATGCTCTCTTCTGGCTTTACCTACACCAGGCACACATGTGGTTCACAAACATGCATGCAAACAAAAAAATCTCATACATATAAAGGAAATGAGCTAATTATTATTTTTTTAAGGGTCTTTCAGAAAAGTCGATGCTCAACTTTTCCCTGAGCTGATGCCAGCAAGAATGACTCCAGTTTAAATCTCAGAGAGAAGCTCTGACACAGTGCCCCCTTGTGGGGACTTTCATAATAATGACGTTTGCAGTGAGTGGCTGATGAGGTTTCTGGCCTCTCCAGGTGGAGCTGAGATACATCTAAGAACCTGCACTGAAGTGACACCAACAGGCCACACAGCCCCAGAGAACAGGAGAAGTCATTTTGCTTCTGGGGACAGTTACAGAGGAGTGATCTGTGCCACGATTTTCTTGACTGTGTCCTCACAGAGAGCTCTGTACAGCTCTGCAGCAGGGACAGGCTGGCTGGAGGGTTGTCGAATCAGCCACATGGCAAACCACAGCATCCTTCCAAACCTGGTGCATCACACATGTATTTCTGGCCGTGTAGAGATCTGAAGTCTCTGTTCTGAACTGCTCTGGGCTAAACCGTACTCTGTGTCAGGGGCCTGCAGAGGCTGGCTCTTGGCTCCTGTCCCTCCAGCGCTGAGTGCGGTCTGATGGCAGGTCCTGGCCCAGCCCTGGAGACAGGCAGCCTGGGCCTTCTCATCGTTGGAGGGAAGCAGGAAAATGAGGTCATTCTGTCAAAGGAGAGCTGGAATGTTCACCTCAGCAGACGATGAAGCCATTGTTTTCTTCTTAGCATCTCTTCCTGATAGATTTCAGGCTGTGTTTGAAAGAAGAAAAGAAAACAAAATAACAAAAGCACAAAAGAGTCTCAATAATTACATTGGGAAAAGTGATTTTTTTGTTTGTTTGGTTGTTTTTAGGGACAGTGTTTCTCTGTGTAGCCCTGGCACTCGCTCTGTAGACTATGCTGGCCTTAAACTCACAGAGATCTGCCTGCCTCTGCTGAGATTAAAGGCATGTGCCACCACCTGTCGGAAAAGTGAAATTTTAAAATGAATAATTTGAACTGATCTCTAGCAGTCTAGAATATAAATACACGTGTAAAATATGAACACAGACAGTTCTGGAGTTACCTGACTTATCGACCGTATGATGCCACTACATGAAGTTTAGGTAGTTGACAGAGCCCATGGGTCTAACGGAGAAGGTATACCCTGTGAAATCAAAACTCATGAGCCGATGAGGAAGGAAAGTCTTAGGTGAGGGAGCCACCCAAGAGCACTCCCTCTAACTGTCCGAATGGCTACTAGCACATGACTGTGCAGAGTCTTGCCTGATGTAGTAGGAACTTAACATATTTAGAATGGCTTAATGAACTAATAGATTATAATGAGAAATGAGAGAGAAGTCAGATACATAAGGAAAAAAAGTATTATCCAGTGGTGTGAGGTGTGTGTGTGTGTGTGTGTCTGTGTGTGTGTGTGTGTGTGTGTGTGTGTGTGTGTGTGTGTGTGTGTGTGAAACTCCAGGAGGGGGAAAATACACTTCTCAAAACTAAAAATTTTAAGTCTCAAAGAAGTTACTTCTACCCTGAATCACACCAAATGATGGGAAAAGACAGCTCTTCCAAAGCAGTGACTAGATGATATGCACAGAGACCATAAGAGCTCAGTAACTGGGGCTGGAGAGATGGCTCAGAGGTTAAGAGCACCGACTGCTCTTCCAGAGGTCCTGAGTTCAATTCCCAGCAACCACATGGTGGCTCACAACCATCCATTATGAGATCTGGTGCCCTCTTCTGGTGTGCAGATATACATGGAAGCAGAATGTTGTATACATAATAAATAAATAAAATCTTCAAAAAAAAAAAAAGAGCTCAGTAACTATTGGAAGCTTTAACATAGCACCCAGAACATGGCAAAGCCAGTGAGCTGAAAACAAATGGAGAACTGAGCAGCAGCAT